TTGTTTTTAAATCTTCTTCCATCAGGCTAACAAGCAGGCCAGTATAGCTATGTAACATGCTTTATTTAATGTGCTTCAGCATTTTTTGAGTGGTGTTATGTTACAGAACAAAAGAAAATACACCATTACATATACTGGTAGTGAAACCATATCTAGGTTATAATTGTGTAGTGCGTTTTATTTTGGTTTAGTTTTTTTGTTTGTTTTTAAATCTTCTTCCATCAGGCTAACAAGCAGGCCAGTATAGCTATGTAACATGCTTTATTTAATGTGCTTCAGCATTTTTTGAGTGGTGTTATGTTACAGAACAAAAGAAAATACACCATTACATATACTGGTAGTGAAACCATATCTAGGTTATAATTGTGTAGTGCAGCAAATAAAGAAGATTGATGTTGAGCTAAAAGTGATTTTAAGCTGGGCATGAAAACTTCCAGATGTGAAAAAAGAGTGAAAAAAATGGAAGTATTAACCCCACACAAAATGAGAAAAGCTTTAAAATATGGAGTGGCTTAAAGCAAGTGAATTAGTGTTTCTTTTGCTCTGTGTCACATCTGTGTCACTGATGCTTGCCTTTTCATCTCCAGGAAACAGTTGCTGTTTGATTATGGTTGGAAATGTTAACGTCTTGGTATGACTGAAAAGTGTGAGGTGTATTTCTAATATCAATGGATATCTAATAAAGTGTGAATGAAAACATTCTCCAAATAAGAGATTAAAAAAAAAATCTTTAGATTGTAATTACTTGCTGTCCTTAACAGAACACTAGCTATGTGAATTATAATAAAAAAAAATTCTGACTGTATCAAAAAGCTGCAAATATCAATAATATGTCACTTATGCTAAGTATTTTCAGTAGTAAGAGCTTTCATGCAAAAGTTGGAACAGGTTGAAACTTTGCATTTGAGACATCTGTTTGGATTTTAATGATCACATTTGTTCCTGTCGGTTCCTGTGGAAATCCTGAGCAAGATCAGGTGGATTGTACAAGCTTTTGCCCATGCAGAAGTGTCACAGTTTTCATCTTCTCTGTTACTGCCACTACCTATATGTTGTTTTTCTAAAAAATCAAAAAAGTGGCTTGCATAGAACATTTTCTTTCAAGTAGGCTTCATCAGAACAAGTTGTTATGAATGGCCTTTAGGGTACCATTACCCAATAGAAGAAAAATTGTAAATATATGTTTAAGTTTCTAAAGTTAGGTAGTAAGATGTGTCTAATTAACACAAATTTATTTGCTTCTGCAAGGATCTGTTGTTGATGTAAGGTGGCAGACAGCATGTTTGTTAGGTGATAGTTAATTATGGAGTGTGAAATAGCTGTTGCATATTTAAGGATTGCACCTGTATTCCTGCCTAAATATGTACTTGCTAATTTTTCCTAAGTTCATGTAGGCAGAAAATGGCTTCTACATTCTCGGATCTCCTGAGGGTACTCTTAGAGCATCATTATGCATTTTTTTATTAATGTTGAATTTTTTTCTGCAGATTACTATATTTTGCAGTATGTCGTGCTAAACTGTGTTGTGGATTTGTTAGTGATTGTAGCGATGCATTTTGGTTTCCTACCTTTCTAAAAATGTGTTGGTTTTTTTGATTGCATCGTTGTTGTTATGTCTTACCTAGTTCTTGAAGAAGATTGGATGAACTGGTAGAGGTTCTCAGCAAGTTGTAAGAGGCATACTACATGCCTTACAAGCCAAACTTGCTTGAGAGCTCTTGTTCTTATCTGTCCTTTCCATTTAATGGCTCTGTACGTGCATGAAAACATGTGCCAAAGAACTTGAGAAAAATAGACTTAACAATCGGGTGTTTTGCACAGCTTCAGCATTCTGTTTTTCCCCAACTGGCTCTCACAGGCATGCAGTTTCTGTCTGACAAGGCTTGTTTTGCTGCTTATTGTTTTCAGCTGTATAATCTTCATGATATGGTCAGATATTGTTGTAAATGAAGCATCCAACAGAGATCTTGGTAATAAAGTATGTGCCTGTCCTGATTTCATCCAGTCAGATGGGGGCTCTGGGACTCTTCTGTAGACCAGAGACTGGCAGTCATGCAGCCCAAGAGGTGGTTAAGATATCTGATGGGTAGTCTTGCAAGCTGTGAAAGTAGCGGGTAGGTGAGATGAAAAAAGAACTTGAGAGACTGTCAGTTTGTTTACATCTGTTGGAGCAGTCAGTGTTGTGGTTCTCCCTCACAACAAGCCTGTATTACTGAACAAGTTGTTAGACAGCATGTTTTACAGGTACTTATCAATACATCCATCACTGGCAGTGGTGAAGTACTGGTACTTACTTGCAAGACCGTACTTGGGTTGATAGCAAATTTCAACATGTCTGTTGGGCAAGAAGGGGAATGTATCCACTCACCGTGACTCACTTGAGGAGCCAAATCATACCAAGGCTTCAGCAGCCTCTTGTGCATCTGTAATCTGTGAGGTTCTCAGTGTTGTGTACTCCTTATATGGCTTCTTACTTTCCAACATCAAACTGATAACAGATTAGTTGGCGTGAAAAGAGTCTTGGCTGCCAAATAGTAGTTGCTGTTTTGATGGCAGCTGATTAATGGCAGACATAATTTTGTCTTGCTTACCAAGTACAAGTGAGCTTTTATAAGCCTCCCTCTGTTTTGATCTTGCATTGTCAACACATTGATGATCGTTCTAGGTTTGAAGCTTGGAGTTTGGTGGTGGATCCAGCTGTAGTAGCAGATAGAAAGTAGTAGTTCTGGTGGTGAGCTTTCCTCAGTACTTTCTGTACAGATGGCATATAGATAAATGTAGCTTTGTCAGGGAACAGCATGGTCAGTAGTGGTGTAAAATTAAGAGTTCTGGGTGGAAGAAACACTAGAAATTCAGAGGAAAAAGAAAGGCTTTTGAAAGCATCAGAAGTGCTTAGGATTAAGTGATAAGTAAAGTAGCTGTCTTGACATGCATTCTGGAAAGAGTAGTTGAGGAGCTAGCAGTTAAGGTTGGTTAAGCTTTTCCTTTTGATAGGAGGCTATACTTAGGAATCTATCTGTTTTTTTTTCCTAGTTGAGTAGCAGTAGCTGTTTCTGAAATAGGGTTGTTACTGGATTATCTCACTGTTACTGAATTACTCTTCAATATGCAAAGAATACCTGCAAGGGCTTACTGCCTCAACCAATACAGTGAACTTATACTATTAATAAAGTCTCAAGCCACCAAAATCCTATTCACCTTGTGATGCTTTTTCTTACAGGGTGAATTTAAATAAACCTTACAGTTGGTTCTGCATGGCAATATTCTCTTGTCCCATTAATTTTTGGAACACAGTATTTAAAAATGTAGCCTTGTATGTTGGAAAATGATGACATGTTCATTGTAGGTCCTTTTCAGATGTCACTGTTTTCAGTAGAACTAGTGAACTTCAAGAGGTAGGAATTGCACTGTTCAGAAGCTGTTACAAACAAGGAATTTCAAACACTTTCTAGCAGGGTGAGAAACAGCAGTTTCTTCTCCTCCACATTCTTTGGGGGTGGGGAGAACTTTGAGTTGAAGTTCGAAAGTAGGCTTTCTTTTCATGTATTCCTGCAATATGCTTTGTTTTCTTTTTTTGTGAGGTTTCCCTGGCTGCCAAGAGGACCATAAATATGCTCAGACTTAATCTTGGCTTAGTCTTTTAAAGTACTCTCATCCAGCCTAGCAAAAAGATGTAGCAGCATCATTTAACATTGGATTTTTTTCCTTTTTTTATTACAAAGGTAGTGGCAGCTTTAAAAAAAGGCTCTTTCTTGGTTGAAGGAGCACCAAGCCAGTGCTTCAAGTACTACAAAAGAAAAGAAGACCCTTCACTGCCATTATGTGGGTAACACTGAATGGGTTGGTTTGATTCCTTATAAATTATTTTTGTCCTGGTTTTTAGTTTAACTGCACCTGCATCTTCTTGCACCTATATTTCTTCCCGTGCCACTGTTCTTTTACCAGTAGTTGTGATAAGTCATTGCCATGCTCTTAGGCTCAGGCAGCAAACCACAGTTGAGATTACCTATTTGGATAAAATGTCTCTGTGGCCTGTTTTTAGAGGGTAATTGTGTCAACCAGTGGTAAGAAAGAATGCCTTTGACCTTTCCAAGTTACTTTCTTCCAAGGCAGAACAGTGTTTTCAGACAACCCAATTCATAGTAATTTCACCTTTTGATCAGGTCACCCATATAGTACTTTTAAAATAATAGGTGCTGTTTAATAATTTCTAGGGCTTAGAAAGTTTATGCAATATGAGAGAAAATAATGTAAGATAAAGTTAATTTGTCATGTCTTTTTTTGCATGCTATTTTTCTCTAGACAGGACTCTCATGAAGGTTCAGTGACATCGGAGCAATTGATAGAGTTGAGAAAAAAAATGAGCTTTTCATGAACTGCTATGAAGAATGCAAGTAAGCAGAGTGTGAGCTTCAATGGTAAGTTTGTTTTTGTTATTACTAATGTTCTCCTTTACCTGTTCTTGAACACCTGTATTTATGAAGTTCTTAATTTCCTGCTTGGTTTTTTAATTGCTTTTGAAATGTTTCTCAAAATATTTCAAAAGTACCTTTAAACCTAAAAACTATGAATAATTAACACACTGTCTGCCTTTTGATAACTTCACGTTCTGTGTCAGTATGTTAAATTACTCAGGTTCTAGAGAATTTAAGGTTCATAGCTCTCCAGTTTGCAGCATTCACTTGAACTGCGTAGCTTCCTGCTAAAAACTGCATCTCAATTTATCACCTATCTTCTTTTTTAAGTAAAACATGAAATGTAGCAGTGTATCCAGCTTCTGTGTGGGCTTATTAGGGGTGAGTCTTTTTAATGAGAATATTTATTTTTAACACTAAATTGTGTGAGATGGGTGAAATTTGAGATAAGCTTTCTATCTTACTGATTTTTAGATATGTAGTGTTATTAACTTCTAAAATATTGGATGTCTTAATTTGACTTTATTTACCAAGCTTAGATTTTTAATCAGTACAACTACTAAAGCTTCTGTCCTTATATTTCAGCTTGTATCCATGAAAACGCCTAGAGAAGATGGCTGATGTAAGCCTGAAGGAAGCCACACTAATAGTTGGTGTGGTGGCAGCCTGCTACTGGAACAGTCTCTTTTGTGGCTTTGTTTTTGATGATGTTTCAGCAATTTTGGACAATAAAGATTTGCATCCTTCTACTCCATTAAAAAATCTGTTTCAGAATGACTTCTGGGGCACTCCAATGTCTGAGGTAAACTGTCAGATACTTCGAAACATTTAGCAAATGGAAAAAAAAAACCTTGCAGAGAGTTTTTTACACTCTT